ACATCCTCTGACCTCTGGTACAATTTTTAAAACACTTTCTGCACATGTTACTGTGTTACATTCAATATCTAATTAAACCACTTTACTATCAATATATGTCAATGAAATTATCATTATAATGTGTGTCGTAATTTGAATTTTTTTATGTTATCTAAGTTTTAATTATTTTGTTTCAAAAGAGACCTTTCAAAAATACTTAAAACTGCAGTTGTCATGTCATATGCTTTGAAAAATCTCAACATTAGTAACATTTTTCTCATAGACACACAAGCTGGTACTTACAGGCATTTCTAAACACAAAGTACGTATATTTGACCTGATTATCACATGAGATCTAAAATCTGCAAGCTGGGTTCTCTGGGAAACAGATATCAATTTTCCAACCCTTGATGGTTACCATGCCCACCTTCTGTACTTTGCCTTGAGATCTACAACAATGTACATGTAGTTAGTTGACACAAGTGTATATAGTCATTAGAAAGAGCTCACATTCACTATACTTCACCAATGGTTAATTTGAAATTGTATTTATTATCTGAATAGTCTTTCTATATTTAATCTTGTTCATTTCATAATGATTTTTTAAACTGTAAGATAATTATAATCAAAAGGTTTATTTTAAAACATTAATGTTACTCTAATTTTTATGTTATTTTAACTTTAAATTTAGGCTACTTGAAAAATATTCAAAATACCAGGAGTTTACTTTGGCTAAGTACATGGTTGCCTAATATATATAATTTGTTATGATAGTAACCAACCAAGGGAAATGAATAAAATGTTTGAGTAATTCAATAGTAATAGATACAACTTTGATGATGAGGAACCCACTTTTTAAAAAATAAGATTCGGATACAGCTTGAAAGGGTAGTGAAAGAAACTTTATTTCAAATGTATAATGTTTCAACAAGCTTATATCATTATCAGGAACCTAATTGTTTAAACTACTTGTACCTGATTATGACATAAGCTTGTCATAATGTTGTATATTTGTGATAAAGTTTCTTTCACTACCCATTCAAGCCATCTCGAAAATTTATAGATACGATACTTAAGGCTTCCACATTATCATAATTATTCAAAACAATCCTGAAATTTTTTAAATTATAATGAATAATTAAAAACAACGTTTTATATTTACACAATAAAAACTTTATTGAAGCCATATGGCTTCCACTTTAAAATATCACTCTCTACACGTACATGTTTCGACGTGATCCTGAAATGTTTGGAGAAGTGAATACACCTTTTACTACTAAAAAAACAAATGTAAAGCCCAGTTTATCATTAGTTTTGCCACTGACTTGTACTAGTGAGTAAAAGATATTTCAAAGCCATACACATAAATCTTTCACCGTTTCTAAAAGTTCAGCAAACTTAATGTACAGCTTCGAAATATCCAGTAATCTATATACCTCTGCACAGGTTCGTTTGTTTATAAAGCACTGCAGATGATGCATTACTGTAAGTATGTTTACTTAGTTAACCTGAAATAAATTTAAATTGGAAATTAACTAGTTAGATACGATAAATTAAAAAGTAGGAATTACAATTGAGAATAAAGATTTATAAAAAGCCTTTTTTAAAAATAACTTTTTAAATTCTAGCACATCTTTTGATGTACATTGTAATTTACCAGAGAGAAGTTATGCTTTTAATGAGCTTACATATTTATGCTCAGACAGTATATATTTCATTTGAAACACTGCTCTTTTAGTGTTGTAATGGTAATGACATAGTAATTTGAAAGTTGTATTAAAAATAAGTTTAAAAACCACTTACTTGATTGGCAAAATAAGATGGTAAATCTGTTGTACTAGACACAAATCTAATTTTTCAGGCATTGGTCAGTATGAAGTGGCCATTTCTGTGAGTACTATGTGGGATAATTAGAACAAATGAACACTTAAT